ATAATATAAATATATAATTAGTACTACCTATAGGGATACGGATTAAGCCGAAGCTATATATACTACGGAATATATAGTAGCTACTTTAAAGGTACTAGGTCCTTTATTAAGGTACTAAAAACTTTTAATATAAAGCTAGGTTTAAAGTAACCCTCGACTAAGGCTCTATAAACTCTCCATATAGATTATATATATTATAAGGCTACTACTACTAACTTTTAGAACTTATATAATAAGAAGTATTATATTTATAAGAAGGTTAGTTATTAGTCTATTAATTACTTAAAATTAAAGTAAAAGGCTATAAAGGAGAAGTAGTAAGGTCGGTATAAGAGAAAGTATACTAGAGATAATAAGAAGAATATTAATTATAATATAATATATTATATCTTTATTATAAGTATAGAAAGAATAGAGGACAAGTATTAAGCTACTAAGACTTTATTTATTATAACTAATAAAACGTTATCTAATAATAATACTATATTATTATAATTATTAGATTCTAATAATAATAACTAGTATAGATAGGATTAATAGAAAGCTATGATATTATAGAGTTGCTTAATAATAAGGATACTAAGTAGCTTATTAACTATTTAAATAATATATCTTACCTATACTAGATAGGGTTTAAGTCTATAAAACTACTAAAGGTATTATTAACTAGTAAGGAGCTAACTCTAAATAAGCGCTAGGTACTGGAGTACTTTTATAGTATATTAATTAATATAGGAGCTATAATATATAACTTTATAGGATACGATTAATATAAGGCGTATAACGCTATCTATACTTTACTACTTAAACTAAGTTCGATTACTATTTAGTTTAGTATTATAAAGTCTACTACGCTAGGCGTTATAATAATAAATACTCCTTTAGATTAAATTAACTTTAACGTTTTTAGAATTAAACTACTATTTATATTATACTTATAAGAGTTAGATAAATATAAAGCTATATTTTATAACTTAGAAAATATAATTATATATAAGAATAAGAAGATTTCTATTATATATTAATTAAGATACTCTTTTATAGTATAGGGATAGGCTTTATATAACTTTATAGAGTAATACCTAAGAATACTAACGGAAACTAAATTATAATAACTCTATAAGCGATTTAGCTACCTATCTATTCCTTGATTATAGCGAGTTCTAGAACAAGCTAGCTATAAGATTAATTCGGATATACTTATAAAGTTAACAAAGTACTATAAGTATTTGTAACGAACACTCGAACTGGCTAACTAAACTTGGCTGGGTGTTCGCTGGTTGGTATGCTATGATAAGAAGAAGACTATCGGGTTGTTCACTTGGAAGTGAACTCTTTACTGTAACGAATACTCAAACTGGCTAACTAAACTTGGCTGGGTGTTCGCTGGTTGGTATGCTATGATAAGAAGAAGACTATCGGGTTGTTCACTTGGAAGTGAACTCGTTACTTGTATCAAAGATGTCAAACAAATATGATAAGATTGATAACTAAGTTGAGCACGAAGCTCCTATCTAATGGCAGACGTGCCAGTCTTATATAGAACCTTCATCCTCAAGTACTATGATCTGGGTAGCCAACTCGCCTGTCGAGCTGGCGGTCCGTTTCGCTAGGTCGCCGAGCGATCCAGCGATCCAACTTAATCATGTGACCATAACCAATGGAAATCCCTGGATCGCTTAGCTACCCTAAGCGATCCCTATTTGCTATAAGAAACCTGGGTATGCCTGTCGAGGGTTGCGCCTCTTATTATGACAAGTATCACGTGGGCACGTGATTCGTGACAGTTACTTGTATCAAAGATGTCAAACTAATATGATAAGATTGATAACTAAGTTGATAACTAAGTTGATAACTAAGTTGAGCACGAAGCTCCTATCTAATGGCAGACATGCCAGTGTTATATAGAACCTTCTTGCTCATGGATCTGGTTGGATCCTAGGATCCCCAAGATCCATCCAGATCCAAAGATCCGTCACGTGACTATAATGAAATCCTTGGATCGCTTAGCTAGTCTAGCCGATCCTTATTCGCTATAAGAGCATGATAGTGTTTAACCTGTCAGGACGCCGCCTGGTCTTCACTCGTCACATGCTAACACGTGATTCGTGACATAAAATCTTTTAATAATAATAGAAAGAAGTTCGTCCTAATATAACTACTAATAATTTAGTATATTAGTATATAAGTTATAGTTATACTTAATATAACTATAGGCTCTTAAGTTAAGCTATAGTTATATAATATAGTTTAGGTATATACTTAGTCTATTATAAAGCTTAACCGTCTATTCTTTATATAAGGACTAAAAGGTATTCTAAAGTAGGAGAACTTATACTTTAAGATTATTAAGCTATTATATAGTATTCTAGAACTAGGAAACTATTAGTATAATATATATCTTAAGTACTATATAGAAAAGCTTAATATAAAGTAATCTATATACGACTTCTATCTCTTATATATTAATAAAGGAGAAAAAGGAGTATTATATGAAGGAGATTTATAGGAGGTTTTAGGACTTTAAACTAATAATACTTTACTCTTTAGTAATATAGTATTTATAGATAAGGGAAAGACCAAATCCGTAGTATTCAAATCTAAGTTAATTAAGGAGTTAAGTATTAATAAACTATTAAAGTTTAATAGTATAAAGATTACTCTTAATACTGATAAGTTAATTACGATTACTTACGATTATAGTAAACAAGTATAATTAGTTAGTAATAAAAAGAGCGATTTAATAAGTTCTTAGGGACTTATATATAAGGATTATAGTACGAAAGACTAATATATTACTTAATAAGTTCTAGTGTCACGAATCACGTAAGCATGTGACAAGTGAAGACCAGGCGGCGTCCTGACAGGTCGAGCACTATCATATCTCTTATAGCAAATAGGGATGCTTAGACTAGCTAAGCGATCCAGGGATTTCATTACATTGTAATCACGTGACCATTTGCATCGCCAGTATCGACAGGCGATGTAGGCGACGGCGGAACATGAAGGTTCTATATAAGACTGGCACGTCTGCCATTAGATAGGAGCTTCGTGCTCAACTTAGTTATTAATCTTATCATATCAGTTTGACATCTTTGATACAAGTAACGAGTTCACTTCCAAGTGAACAACCCGATAGTCTTCTTCTTATCATAGCATACCAACCAGCGAACACCCAGCCAAGTTTAGTTAGCCAGTTTGAGTATTCGTTACATCTAGGTACGTATATAGTAATAGTATATTAACCTAAAGCTATATTTAATCTAAATATTATAGTATAAATAATAACTCTTAGAGGGTAGGATATTAATATATTAAATAAGAGACTCTAGTAGTTAATTAATAATTTAACCTAAGGACTTAAATATATTCCTTTAGATCAAGATTTACTTAAGTTAGTATTATTTATTAACGCCTCTTTTATAAAGCTAATAGACTTAAGTTTATAGATTAGATAGGTTTTATATCTAGTAGATAAGAATAATAATACTAATATTTTATACTAGAGTTTTATAAAGTATAGACGAATTACTAGAAGTATACTTACTTCTAAGCTATACGCCTTAAGTAGAGGTTTTAATACTACTAGAGTAATTAAATTAATAATTAAGGCTATTCTTAGATAATATATTAAGCTTACTATTTATATAGATTTAAAGTTAATTTATAAATACTTAATAAAACTTAGTACTACTAAGGAGAAGCGTCTTATAATTAACGTTATAGCTTTATAATAAGTATATAAATAATAAGAGATTTATAATATTATATAGATTAAAGGAGATTCGAATCCTATTAATACTATAACAAAATTAAAGCCCTACTAGGCGCTTATAAAATTAATCGATTTAAATAAGATTAATATTATATTGGGTTGAAAGGGTATTGGGTACTGAAGGTCATGGAGAATTGATTGCATTGTAAAAGGTAGCTATCTAAGGTGTTTATATACAGAGTGTAAGGTTTAGGCAGACATGAAGCATTTAGGCAGCAGAACTATAAGTGGATCAAATAAGGAAGTGGAGCAAAAGAGAAAGTAGACCCAGCACAACATATTATAATTAAGGAGTAGGTTAAACATAATAATAAGGATAATAGATCTAATAATAATTCGGATTAATAAGCAAGGAATCGAGGATTCTAATTAGATAAGAGATACGGAATAGGATAGATTTAGTTTAGCTAATTAGTTATTTTAGTACTAAGTATTTACTTCTCTTTTTAAGAGTAAATCTAGTATCGCTATACGAATATCGAGTGATTACTCGGTATAAGTTATAGCACGTGCAAGTTGGCCTTAGGGCTAGCAAGGGCGCTAGCGCCTTGGCACTGCTATATAATAGCGGGCACCTACAACCTTTACTCGGTGTGTACATCTGATAGTCGAATACGATACTATTCCATTTGCATTAACACTTTGTCTGGACTCTCTATTAGAGTCAAACCAACAGGGGAGCTACAAAAAAAAAAGACCAAAAAACAAATTAGCAAAACTCTAGCAGGCGCGATGGGACTGGTGCTTCTGGGGCTAGAGAAATCCACCTTCATAGGCAGTGGATTTTTTCCGATTAAGGGAACAGCTCTGTGTGCTTGTCGCTTTTGGGAATCACATTACACACTCGACTGACCTGACCAGGCGTACAGTATCAGGTTTTGTGATATTCAGACGTCCTATTTGAAGATATAACAGTTGTGCGCCATTACACCGAAGTTGCCACGGTAAAGTGTTGAGTGAATAATGCATTACACTTGTCTGTTGGTACTCACGTGTCGTCAAGTTCCTCTACTATTCCCCTATTCACAAGCGAGGCTATGCTGATAGGGAATCATTTTTCAGCAACAATCACACGCGGCGAAATTGTGCAATTTCAATACAAATATTTAACTGCACCTGAAAAAACTCCGTCCCCACAATACAGGTAATCTGTTCTTAGGATATAACTCCTGCTTTGGCAACGCGCCCTCACTTACCCAGAGGCAGTTTCTGTCTCACCAACGCGATGCTCGCCAAATTGAAATCAAAATTTAACTTCCTGAATTCCAAGGACCCAGAATCTCGAAGCAGGAGTCGAGAGCGCAGCCCTTCTGAATCTCGAGGCACATCAAGAAATGATAGCCCACGTCGGTCTCGGTCTCTGTCTCGGCCGCGGTCGAGAGACAAAAGTCGACGATCAAAATCCGAAGAGGGCGGGAGACATAGGAGAAGGAAAAGCTCCAACAGATCGCCCAACCCCGAACGTCATCGTCATCATCGTAGAAGAAGAAACACAGATGGTTCAACATCGCGCAGAAGGCAGGATCGAGGAGATGACGATTTGCCACCTTTACCCCAAATTCCCGACACATACCGGGAGGTTCAAGTTCGAAATCAGCAGATCAAAGAAGAGGCAGCCGAAGCCTGGAGATTAGAGAAAGAGAAAGAGAGGGAGAGAAGGGCTAAAAAACAATATCCCAGACGAGACGAGCAGGCATCACCGCCTACAAGACAACAGCAAGCCCTTCAACCGGCCAAAATTCCCGTAGGCCCAGTGCCAATAAGAAGGAAAGAAGTTCCTCCCCCGGCACAACCACTCCCGCAGTCAACTCAAGGAGGAGCACAAATAGTGAGAATACAGAAACAAATACACTCACCCCATCAACAATACCCTGCAAAATCTCCTCCCCAGCAGCCACCTCGAGCGTCAGCACAGCAGATAAAGAGGCAAGAACAAGTTCCTTCTCCACCTAGACAACAGTCTCCACAACAGCCATTCCGAGGAAGGAATCTTTCCCCAATGCAGGCGGAGATCGCCAAAGGTTTTGCAGAAATCCAGCGACACCAAGCCGAAGTAGAGGCGGAAGAACAACGTCGTGTAGCTGAAAAGGATAAACAGAGGAAAGCCAGGCTTCAAAAAGAACAAGGTGAAGCTCCAGCAGAAATAGAGTTGCAACGCAAATTAGAAGAACAGCAGATAATCGCCGATAAAGAAAGGAGACGACAAGCAGAGCTGATACGCAAGCTCAAGGAAGAGCAGGATATAGCCGACAAGGAGAGGAAAGAACAAGCCGAGCTACAACGCAGAATCATCGATCAGGAAGAAGCCGCAGAAAGAGAGCGACGCCGACAGGCGGAGTTAAAGCGTCAACTAGAAGCTCAACACAAACTGAAAGAGCAGCAAGAAGCTGTAGAAAAGGAGAAGAGGGATAAGGTCGAATTAGAACGTAAAGTGCAACAACAACATGAAATTGCCGAAAAGGAAAGGCATAGAAAGGCTGAGCTCAAACGTCAATTGGAAGAGCGGCAGAAAATCGCCAAAAAGGAGAGAATGGCAGAGCAAAAACGTATGCTCGACGAAGAACAGCGCGCAATACAGGAACACTTAGCAATGGTAGAAGCTGAAGACAAACGTAGAAACCGCGAAGAGACCGAGAAATGGGAGCGTGAATGGCAAGACCACCAGCGAAAGGCAGAAAAGAGAGCATCTGACGAACGCCGCGCCGAGCGAGCAAGACAGCAACGTGAAGCTCAAGAAAGGGAATGGAAAGAACTAAAGGAAGGGGAGGAAAGAAGAAAAGCTGAGGATATGAAGCAAAAGGAAGCGCAGAAAGCAAGAGATTGGGCCGTCCAGAAATATCAAGTGCCCCCTGATCTCACAGCCCAGAACCTTGAAAGCCATAGAGATGGTTTTGTTGATAATGATGCCCAGAGCACTTTGGACAGAGGGCTGGGTATAGCTACCAGGACTATTCTTGAAGGGTTTGTGACCCCCTCAGAGTTGTACGAAATGGAAGTTGAGGATGCGTCAGATTTGGCTTTAGGAATAGGAACTAGGACTATTCTTGAAGGATATGCCACGCCCTCGGAGTTTCACAAAAGGGGAGGGTAGTGATGTAAATATGACTTGGCTGGAGAAGAAGCATTGACGGGGATGTGTGGTCTCCAAGAAAGAATAAAATAGCTGTCAGAAACAACCTTATTTGACGCCTCAAATTTCTCTATTACGACCATCGTAGAGTAAATATCGTATACGCTGAGATGGAGATACATGTCCCGTCCCCTCCTTTCTGATTGTAACCGCTTCCCAGTGCCAGATGAACATCCCTAACGGTAGCTAAGAAAAATACCAATAAACAAGTATATAGCTGCCCAAGTCTTCTGAGTAAGTCTCAATGTAGTAGCCTAGGTATACTTTTAAATGAATTATTCTGCTTTCCTAGAAGCCACGATCAATTGGCACGGCATCCTGAATGTACTAAAAGGTCGAATAGACTTAATACTAATTCTCAGATCGCAAATCGTAAACTGGCTCAGGGTTAGGGTTATATAACAGCGCTGGAATTGAAGGTAAAACCATTCGATATAAGTAAATAAGCTTGAATTTAACTCGAATACTCCTTCCCACCCTTACTGTCGTATCCTTACTGTCGTATCCTTACTGTCGCATCCTTACTGTCGTATCCTTACTGTCACTGTCGTAAGGAAAAGACAAGAGAGAGAGGGGAAGAGCGAGGGGCGCGAAGGTAGGTAGCAAACAATTCTTAGCAGAACACGTGCTAGCCTAGCTGTTTTAGGAAGGTAGTATCCCGGGCTGACGATAAGCGACGCGTACAACTAAATTATTTCCCTGCTTTTCTCTCTTTCTCTCTCTCTCTCTCTCTCTCTCTCTCTCCCTCTCTCTTCCTCCCTCCCCTAAGCAACATACTAGGGCGCAACCCTATCCCACAGTAAGGATGCCACAGTGAGGGTGCGACAGTGAGGGGGCGGCGACAGCGAGGGTGGGCGATAGTGAGGGTCGGGCGACAGTGAGGGTCGGGCGACAGTGAGGGTCGGGCGACAGTGAGGGTCGGGCGACAGTGAGGGTCGGGCGACAGTGAGGGTCGGGCGACAGTGAGGGTCGGGCGACAATAGGTGGCGAGTTTACATAATCAGGCCCTAAGTACTTGGGGTGTGGGGTTATAGGCTCTCTGGCACAGTAGTAGTAAATATATGACTTTTGCGATTTGCGATTTGCGAATTAGTTTTTACTCTATTCGGCCTTTTAGTACATTCAGGATGTCGTAATTGGTCAATTGACCAATTCTTCTTAATTCCCCCCAAAGGATCAAGAAAATTATTTCCGAAAACGGGGCTTTTTACAGCCGCTTTTGAAGTGCAACACGAGCTTCCGAATATGCCGTGTCATGACATTGTGAAGCCGGGTGGGTTATGTCCTGGAACAGAATCTTTAGCATCGCCAGCGAAGCGAAAAAACCAAACAGAAACGACAAATCTTGAAGCACTGATTTGCACCACAAGGAGTCCTGGATCAAACATGAGCAAGTTCATCTTCAGAATTAGATAACCTGAACCCAACAGAGATATACATAAAGAGTTGAACACTCATTGCCACTTAACAACGTGTATTGCAGAAACTCGTATGCTCCAGCCCGAACTCCCTTTAAATGCAAACATCGACAAGTCCATGCCTAGCACCTAGCCTCGACTCCTTTTCTGCTAATAGTTAAATACTTAACACCCTTGTATGGCCTTACTCCTTCTCCCACACCACGGCTTTTCCTCATATCAATAACCAAAGACTCCACCTTGATACCACTGGCCAACCATCCTTTGACGGAAAAGCTGACTGATGCTGTGCTCGGCATTAAAATCTTGTTTTGTTCAATTTTTCGTGCATCGCTATGTTCATCTGGCTTGTCAACCTTCTCGGACTGTGCTGGTGTACTTTGGTACGCATCTTCGTCATAATCATACTTTCCATCCAGTCTAAAACCATTACCTTCAAAGTCCTCCTCATCCGTAAGAGGCCCAGCAACTGTGCACCGAAGATTGGCACCTCCCGCAACAGCTTCCTTCGCTGGAATGTGCCATTCTAAGTTGGTGCCTCCAGGGTTGTAGGTTGTATCACCTCTGCTGGGCCGAATCTCAGAGAGATTTCTCACTCCATCGGGTAACGGTATAGAGACTACGAGATCTTCCAATGTGGGTGTCGAAGAGGTCCCAGCGTGCATACCTAACCCGCCAAATCCAGATCCAGCGCGACCCCCAGCATTGGATCTCGAGGATGACCCCGAAATCGACGAGTTGCCTTGACCAGAAACCTTCGTAATCAACAGTTTCACTTCAAAATCAGATCCTGTAGGTCCAAGGTTTGTCTTAATCTCCACTTGAACTGGGAGCTTTAGACTGGAAGTGTTTGCAGAAATACCCTGCCCGCTCTGGAACGGTAGCAAATCGACTTCGTAGCCCGCCAAAACAAAACGACCATCTGGTGGTACAAAGCTCAACTCTCCGGGCTTTTCTTTCCACCTTGCCAATCTCACACAAGGGTGAAATACAGGCAATTCCATCACACTGTTAATATTCTGCTTCCCAGAAGGCGTGGAGAGGTTCAGTAGTAAGTCGGGAACCCCAGAAATCTTGGAGGTAAATGCAATAGTTCCATTTGCAAAAGCTGCTAAGGGACGACCAGAAGGAGCGAGTGTTACTGAAAGCGTTTCGACTATGTCTACGTAGAGTTCGTTGGAAGTATGCCGTACATTGGCTCTTCGCCAAGGTAGAGCTGGAGTGTTTGCTGCCAGTGCCGTCGCAGACGATATTCCTGACATGTTTGAGCTCGAGGAGGTTGAAAACCCAGCTTTGCTAATGACGGCAGGTCAGAGCACCCCAATGAGCTTGGAAGTATGACTAACCCTGGAATGGTGATTCCTCCCAACAACTTTCCAATCCAACCTTCTACCTCTACCAGGTCCCTCAGAGCGTTTGGCTCCGTTGTACTCACTGCCCCTGAATCGCACATTTCGTTCAAAAGTTGGGCTATGACATCGTAGCTACTCTCCACCTTATGTGCCAGTAAAGGCGAGCCCACGAATTCCTCCAAGACATCGATAATTCGGTGGAGGAATTCAAGCGCAAGTAGCGGTTCGATTTCGGAGGAGGACGTGAGGAGAAATAGAAGGTTTGAATGGATCAGGCTGAAAACCAAGGTCGGAGGAGAAGTATTTGGGAGGTATATCAGACTAGGTCGTGGTTGGGGATGGTTGGAATAGAGGGGCAGAAGCTGCTGCGCGCTGAGCGGCCGACCAGTGTAAACATGCGAGAGAATAGGTCGGCTAGAATATGGTTAGCTTCCGCAGTGTTCCAGCTCGAAAGACAGAGAAAGGGCGCAGCAGTACTTATTCTCATCGTATACGTGTAGAGCCTCAATGACCTCGCTCATGGTCAATACTGGATTGTGCTTGGTGGCATTGGCAAGTACTGTACTGTACCCAAGTTCAAGGCGTGGGGTCGAGGGAAGTGAGCTCCAAGAAATGCACGGACAATCTTTGTGGGAGCGGGAGCAGGAGCGGGAGCCTCGCAGCTTCTTCTCCAACCCACCACCAGTGGACCTACGAGTACGGAGTAACCCAATTCCAACATCACACCCACTCGATATTCCCAGCCGCATATCACCATGGCCAACAACCCACCGGCAGATATTGAACCACTTGCGACTGCGCTGGCGAGAGACAGAGACGATTGCATGCCATGTCGGATAGTGGGTTAGACATCTCATGACCTTTACAAACACTTACCCAAACACTAACCAAAGTCTAGGAGCATCCGCGTTCATTGGACTCGGCGCATATAGCTGGTATTCTGGCCATACGCAACTGGAAAGACAACAAGCAAAGATTCTGGCGAGCAAAAGCATGTTTGGAATGAAAAGTCGTCAGGCAGGAATTACGACCATTGCCTTGTCACTTGTAGGATTGGGCCTGTTCCGATTGGCCAATTGAGCGTTCCCATAAGGTGCTATAACAACAAGATGTACGGTACAAGATCATATTACCGCATTAGTTTCGTCTAAATGATTGATTGCATCTATGGTCAAGTATCGACTAAACTGGCGCCATAGAACGATCCGCGCTAGCCCCTTCTTTGGCTGTCCACTCTTCCTTTTCCTTCTTCAACTGGGAACTCACAAAAGCCGCCGTCATTATAGAATACACAGCTGAGAATGCCCATGGGAGACCCCAGCCTACACCAAACCCAATATCTTCTTTCAGAAGCATGATTAAGATGGTAGAAACGATCGCAATAAAAATCATCCCCAAGCCCCAGATCCAGCTGAGCAACAAAATCATTCGACGAAATTGTGGGCTGACTTCATATCGTTTTATTACCGCCGCCCTGTAATCTACCCCTCCTCGGCCCTCAATACCACCCGCATCTTCGATAAAAGCCAGTACGGCCGGGCGCCATAGTGTCCCCTTTGGAGTCGAAGACATGTCAAATGGCAGCGTTTTTTTCATCTGCGTCAACACTGCAGTCCCGCAAAGAAGAAACCCAAAATAGAAGCAAATCGTGGGAGATGGCATCGCGACGAGTCGAACGATCGGGTTATGTGGTATTGTACCAACTACCAACTCTATCTCAAACACCGTGATACAAAGTAGAAGGTTAATATGTAGGAATTCCATCTGCGCTGAGTTAGTGACCGCTTAAGCGTGGAAGTGTTCTTTTACCATGCCCCATCGTTTCCACCCGACCGGTCTCCATTTTGATGATTCTTTTGATCGGAATAGCTTCAGTGAACGGAAAAAGTAATGCCCGAAGCTCAATAAGCCAAAGATGCCTGTAATGATGCCAAATACTGATGGTTTTGTTAACATATGTCCCAAGGTCTTGGTGGAAATACGTACTGTCTTGTAGGCTCAATTTCGTGCCAAATTTAAAGGCATAGTAATAAGCAACTATAACGGCACAAAGTCAACGTAAGTAAGTCCAATTCAAACAATAAGTGACCTTCTCGAGTTCCATAGTGATCAGACTTACTGGGGAGTGCGCAAAGATCAATTATAAGTAACGAAATCCCGCCCCATATCAAAAGCGGTCTTCTCGCGTGTGGTGTATGTAGCCCAGGGAGTTCCATAATGTTCATTGCTTGCGATGGCCCTGAACTGCCTTCTGATTCTCCATCGTGGCCGTTCGGATTCTCAGGAGCCATAAGCGTGTTGTGCGGCATCCGGAATGCGCGTCCGGGAGGCAAAGCTGAGAAGATTATGGGACGAAGAGGAGGCTGATGGAGTAGCTGCGGGAACAGAAGTGAAGTATATCTAATAAGGTTCACATTGAAAAAGGTCGAACGTGGTGGGCAAAGTGAGATGTGATGGTGTTTGCTGTAACGAGTTTCCAATTCCCGTGGATGGATAATCCTTGGCCCACGAAAGAGTGACGTAGTAATCCAGCATTCAATTCATCTTTCCCATACCTGGCCAGGCCAGGCCAGGGGGCGTATCCAGCTGCACTCGGACCTCCCGATCCCGATTGGCTATTTTAGATATAGAAGCCGCTGCGGATATGTAGATCATCTTCTTCACTTACCTGCCCTTCTTATTCTTGTACTTGAGCATAAGACGTGCATAGGACTTGAACTGCCTAATTGATTCAAATAACCTCAACAACCAAGACAGTTCTTTGTGCTGGTAGCTCCATTGTTATACCATTACATAAGCGAACCCTCGCGGCTCCCAGCAGGGCGGCTCTCGGAGAACAAGAAAAGTGGTAGAGGCTCTTTATTTTCTTGATTAGCGTAAGTTCGTTCCAAGTTTTAGAATATTTGAAATATTTGGAACAATTACCTTCATCGTTCTATCGTTTTCGATCAATTCTTTCGGTTAATCCAAATAACTGAAATAATAAAAAGCTTTATGATTAAGGCTCTCTTCAGTCAGAAAATATCGTCCTCAATACCGCCCCACTTTATCATATGTAGAGCTAATGCGTGTACCGTGGGTCCTTAACCCACACCATATCTATACTATAATCTATAACAACCGAGGCTAAAGCGAGGCTCGAGCGAGGACTCTGCTTTGGGCTATATGCGCTGTGACTTTGATAGGCTTTCATAACCTCTATTAGTAAACTAAAACACTATGGTTTCAGGGCACGTCTAAATAAGCTTAGGCATGCGATAGGGAGTTTTCGCTCTAGTCTTTGATAATTAGAAAGAAAAATAGGTTGATTGTAATAGAGCTGGACTAGGAATCTAGGATAAAGACAGCCTAACAGAGCCTATAGGAAACAAGGTCAGAATAGTACTATAGCGTATGTTTGTAACCGCTTTAGAACAATGTTCATGAGTCTCAGTATGTTACGTCTCAAGAGTTGTCGTTAAGCTACTGTACTCTTCTCAACAATAAGCAATCTTAGTAGAAACCCGTACCACTCTAGTTTGTACACTTTGCCGAAACTAGCTTGAGATCTCTCAAAGTTTCCAGGGATTTCGTCTTTCGATTGGTTCCGGGATCCAGACAAAAGCTCAAACACCAAAGTATACTTTCCATGGTTTTACAATAAGTTAACTTTTTAAGCTACTACCAAGTACAGTACAGGACAGGAATATCCCTTCCCATTTTTCGGATGATAGGAAACGCAGTTGGAGGTGCCTACCATATTCGGTAAACTGTACTTGTACAGTGTGGTTGCTGGTTTGGCATAAGAGACCTGGTCATTGCTCTACACACCTCTCTAAAGAATTACATTGTTCCAGAAAGGCTACAGTAATATGATTGCAACAATTATACGAATATTGAGAATGATTGAGTTGGACGTTTCTTTATTGGCCCATGATTTCCAGGGTAGCTGAGTTGCTTATACTTCACTTGTCGTATAATGACGTTTGCTAACTGTGTAGATTAGTGAGTGACCAGGTCTGAAGCTCTTTCCAATGTTTGAACTGGATGTAGAAAAAGAAGACAATTTATTACAGGTGAACATGAACTAGAATCAAAATATACATGACCGGGGTATCAGTGAATTTGTTCTGCTGGAGTCCAACTTCATAGGTTCTCGTTTTGGTGAATCAGCTGGCCCAATCTACAGCGCCGCTTTAAAGCCAGTGCCTCTCAAAAGCATTTTGAACCAATTCAACACCTTCAGAGAGCTTCAACATTTCAACATTCTTCCTGGCAGTCTGCACACGCTTCTCTCACCAACAATACCACCAATTTCCTGCATGCTTCTTCCATTTATTTCGCCACCAAGTTCCTCACCCCCACAACCCAACGTGCAGTATCGGCGCATCAAATTCCAGATCTCTGCTGGTCATGAATAGATATCGAGGTCCCACGATCGGTGGCCCCTCAAAGGCCACCGCAACTACTACATGCCAGAAGTGTCTGAAGAAAGATAGGTCCATCCCCGATTCCTAGATCTCCTCAAAGCTGACCATTGCCACGCCATTATTCCTACGAGTGTAAAGCGATCGCACAAGAGCGCCCATACAAATCTCGCCCTTCTCGAACGCAACAACTGTTTAATCCAAAACTCCTCCCAAAGTTGACGAACGATGCGCCACAGGATCTGCTAAGAAAGTATGCAAACTCAACTCTCCGGTCACCATTTCTCTTTATATTATTCAACGAAGGCTGGCTTATTGTTTTGGGCGTGCTGCATTATCTGAGCAATACTGACGATTTGGGTTTGCGCAAATACAATTCATATACTAATCACTTCTCTAGGAAAGGAGTCGCAGATGAACAAATAGCAAAAGCAGAGCAGGAGCGGGAACGCAAACGAGAACGTCAAAGTGAAACTCCAGAAATCACATCAAAGAGAAGACGGTCAGCTTCTATTTCATCGGTATCTGTTTCTACTATATCTACAACAATGTCCCGATCGCCTTCTCCACGAAGATCGTATGCGGAAACTCGACAACGTAAACCCAGATCTCCCAGTATGTCACGATCTCCAGCTCTTAGGAAGGATTCCGGTCACCAGGATCGACGATACAACAGCATATCTCAATCTCCCCAACAACCAAGAGTAAGCGATTCGGAAAAGAAACGAAGAAGGGGCTCCGTTTCCTCAGTAGACTCGGACACTTCGGCTGATAGGAAGGAAAATATGCGCCCGCCAAGAGACAGTCGGAGTACGCGAAGAAGATTCCGGGAAGTTAGTCCTCCTGTCAGGGGACGGAGAACTGAAAGTAGAAGCCCCCATAGAGGAAGAGGAAGGCTAGTGGACAATCATGAACAACAGCAACCACCTCGCAACCATGGGCGAGATGAACCGCCGCGGGAGCGAAGTTTGAGCCCGTTTTCAAAGCGATTAGCGTTGACACAAGCTATGAACATGGGCCGTTAAATTGCTATTGTTGTATCTGGGGTGAGGATGGATGGGCGACTCTGGAAAGGTCTGTTTTGTTGTTGGTAGATATGACTGGGGAAAAGCCAAAGTGTAGTTATAGATCGATACCCCATGTTTAGTACCTGCTCGCGCTGGAGTCCAATACAGGATTTGGGCGGGAATGAAGGGCGCATTTTGGTTCTGGCAAAGCAGGTCTTCTATTGCATTTCCATATCTTCCTTCTCACGTTGCTCCTCTTCCTCCTCTTCCCTCTCTCTTAATTTGACACCCTCCACAAGAGCAACACCATCCATTCCCATTTCCTCACCGCCCTCACTTGCAGTAATAGCACCATTTCCTGCTTTTGACTTTGCAATCTTTTGTGCACCTTCAATCCTTTCCCTAACCATCCGCGCAATCGCATTCTCCGTCCGAACATTCAGCACATCAAGTTTCTTCTCAAGATCCCTCTTCAAGTCCCAATTAGGTTTCTTGGGTTGCAACTTGAATAGATCCACGCCTTTATCATCCTGTTCGTCCTCCTCCGCCTTTTTCCTGATCTCCTCCTCAACCTCTTTTGCCTGTTGTTCCAGGGTTTTTTCCAGCGCAAGTGTAGGAGGAGCCTCGAAACCTAGCTTGGGACCTTTGGCTTCCGCATCGTAATTTCGGCCGGAGAGATGTAGTTTTGCGACATCTGGTTCGGCAGGTGGTGATGGTGAACGTGTTGACTCTGGAGCAACGATCTCGTCACCAGGCTGTTTGCGCTTCAATGACTTGAGCTTTGCTAATCGGGCTTTGCGCTCATCTGCTGCTGCGCCCAGCGTCGCATGTGTAGCGGACATGTTGGCGATGATAGGAGTGCGAACAAGCCAATCAATCTGTATTGTACTTGTATCGAGGCGATGATGGTGGCGTTGGCAGAACTTCTATACTGTAAGTGTTTTGTGGTGAATGGGTTGGAAGTCAGGTACTTGTAAGTGCAGCAGGGTGCCTGAAAATGGCGAGGCTTCAAGGCTGGCTGGTCCTCGTCCTTTTCTCAGCCTCAGCCTCGCATCAGAATTTTTGTCGGCAATTGGGTTGCAGCGTCAACTTGTCTCCATGCTCTTTCTTCCATAGCAGTCCTTTGCTCGTCACTTTGTCGAATAGATGTGGCCACAAGCTGATGCCTCTCCGATCTGCGATCTTACCGATCCTACCAAGACGGGTTCAACCCCTCGATCTCCCTATTCTTCCTTTCCTTGCGCCTCGAGTTTTCCAACCATGGCCCTTCGGGGGTCGGCACAACTCACACAACTACTCAACTGTAGCAGCACCCTCGACGTCAAAAACTCAGTCCGCTGAGCAAGCAAAGGATTATGATACGGATACAGCTGTAAAAGAGCTTAGTCCTATTGCTACTGAGCAGGAATGGAAGGCTCCTTCTGTAGCTTTCCCGCCTGCTTCGCACACTTCAAGGACCAGGCGCAGAACAGCTTCGGACGGCAATCAACCTGAGATAGCGAAGGGTCCAAGCGAACAGTCTGTTGGAAGGGTTCCCCGAGGGTCTCCCAGAAGGTTGTTCTTGAGGCCAACAGATTCTGGACGAATTAGCATACAAAAATCCAAAAATGGACCGATATATTTCGCCCATATCGGTCCAAGGTCACCAGCTCGAACCAGATTTCGCAGCATGTTGAAGCGAGCTCCAATAGATCTTCCTGGGAGAAGAACAGACCGAGCTGCCTATCTTCTACGTTTTTCAACAAAGCTCAGAGTTGAACGTATTGGCAAATTTGTATCGGGCCGCCTTTCATACCGTCTGTATAATTCAAGGCCTGGGCTACGGCACACTTATCAACGAAATGGACATCAGCCTCCAGATCCTTCGACTAGACTACTTGAAATGAATTACGAAGGTAACTTCATTCGGCAGTACAGGTGGCTTGAACGCGACAAATCGTTCAAACCAACTTTGTTCGATGAAAAGCTTTTGAGTGGCTCTTCTGATTTTTTGAAAGAAGAATGGGAAAAACTTGATCTCCAAGAGAAAGGACTCACATGGCCACGACTTATGTTTCTAGCTTTGGCTTGCTATCCAAGCAAGATCTTGAAATTCATCAACACCACCTACTGTGCACCTTACCCTTCATCAGCCGCTGTTTGTGACAGCCTTGATTTTGTTATATTACACTATCTGAAGGACTTGAAGCCGTCCCACGAGAATCATAGTGTCTATCTATACAAAACGATTATCAATATGCTCCTCCGTGGGCCTGCAAATTATACCTACCTGTCCCAAAACGCGATATATTACTTGCTGATACGCCTGCCCAGCCCAGAATATGTAGTGGACCTCTACAGGAGCCTGGAGCGATTGAATAACCCTTTAAGACCATGGACCTTGGCTCACTTTGCTTCTCGCTTGTCCCAGGCAAGTCATGAATACGAGGAAATTGTGTTTGAGATGCTGCAACGCTTGGGGGGTCTTAGGACTGATTTCAATACCCCAATGATGGAGAGTCTTTGCACGACCATTCTTCTGAATTCAAGTCCAGATGCAAAAATTGGACACTCGGAGAAGTTTGAATACATGCTCAAATGTGGGCTGATACCGAACATAATCACCTACAATGTCCTCCTTTTGAAAAATCTGAGGGCCGGGGATCGGGTTGGCAGCTGGCGTATTTTTGAGTTAATGAATGAAAGCGGACCCGAGCCAGATGCTTACACATACTCGACTCTCCTGAACGACGCAAAGAGGAGAGGTGATACTCTTGCTATAAAAGATCTCATGGAATCATATAACCGTAAAGGCATGAGCAGCGTACACGTTGTAGTTGATGTGCTACATTCTACGTTACTTTCCGCCGAAAGTGCCAAAAGGAAATCTAGCTGGGGGCCTGTTCCCGTGGACAGAAGTGCGTTTCGGGAGATGCTGCCCTACTATTGCAGACATTTTCATTTTGAGCCCCTAGCTCGCCTTGTACCCGGATTGGCGACGAATTACCCCCAGTACATGGGCAGAGATCAGACAGAAACGTCTCTTGGTTCAGTAAATCTTTCCAGTATAAGGGCAGAGCCGCCAAAGCATGCGCTTGTGGTTATGCTCACAGCTCTCCTCAGAGGATACGAGGATCCTGATACGCCAAAGTGGTTTTACGAGCATTGGAGGAAGTTGGTACACGACTGCGATCCATTCATCCTTGAAATTTCTACTGCAAATAATGGCCATTATCTGTCCGTCATTTACAACACTCTTCTCAAATCGTTAGGTCGTCATGCAATCAATGTTCCTTTATGTCTAAAAATCCTTGGAGAAATGAGCCAGACTTTACCGGTCGACAGCAACGCAGAGACTGCAATCCGACTACCAAAACCAACAATAGCAACCTGGAACATTCTTGCAGAGCTCCTCATGCAACATAGACAGCCTCGTGCGGCCGAAAAGATCCTGAGCATGATGCGGGAACGTGGTATTGTGCCAACGTACGTTACCTGGAGAAACCTTCTCAAAGGTTACGTTCAGGTGCAAGATGTAGGTATGGTTGTCAATACTGTAGATCGACAAGAGCGTGCTGGTTTCCCGGTTGCTTCTTCCGTTTTGAGAGAAATGAAAACGGTCTCAGATCGCCGTGCTTTGATTGAAGCGCTGAAAGTCGCTGAGATGGTGAGGTTGGAAGATGCATTACGAGAGCGTGAGCGTGAGCGCGAGGAAAATGCCCAGAAAATGGCTTCCAATGTGGCCGAAGTTACGGTCGAAGAGGTTGAACCAGAGAGGCTTGTTGTTGAGGATATGCCTTTACCAGGACCTGCAGATGCAAACAGCCAGTTGGCTAAGGTTTTTGAAGGCTTGAAAGGAAAAGAGCTATTGGGGGAGCAGAGGGTTGTATGAACGTTGTATGATTTAAGTTTGAAAAGTATATAACGAATTGTGCTTCTCTTTTTTCGCTACTATAGATGTAGATAGCTAGATTTAATACCCAATCCGGATCGGTTTCCTCTGGAGCTTATATTGTGTGTAACGTTCATATATCACTCATTAGCATATTTCTTTTCTCGTTTGGAATGTAATCAGGATAGCAGCCTCCCGGTGGACAAGAAAAGTGGCAGAGATTCATTTTTTATCTTATCCTAACTTAACTAAAAACCATTATATTGTATCAGCTATTTCAAATAATTAAGGGGGTGTTTGGCTACGCAAATCTCTCCATGCAAAACAGGTGCAAAAGTCTAAGATTTACACGGGCTAGAGGACCCCAAGGGCTCATGCAAAAGTTTCCTGAATTACATGCAAATTAGACTATTCTTACGAAACAAATGTACCACGGTTTAGCTGGTGTAAAAGTTTTTATTTCAGGTGTAAATTTTATATATATCTGTACCCCCCGTCCACCCCCGCTTATCCTGTCTATAGTGTTACCCCTATAGTCCTATAATATCCCTCCTACAGTTTCCCTATACCCCCTCATACCCTTTACCCCCCCTCCCTAGGCGCTCTTTTTGCTCCTATGCTTTACGGCTATAAATTAGCCGAGTGTTACTTGCTGTTAGAATAGGGGAATAGTATAGGGGGCAGTATAAGGGACAGTATAAGGGACAGTATAAGGGACAGTATAAGGGACAGTATAAGGGACAGTATAAGGGACAGTATAAGGGATAGTATAAGGGATAGTATAGGGGGTAGTATAGGGGGTAGTATAGGGGGTAGTATAAGGGATAGTATAAGGGGTAGTATAAAGGATAGTATAGGAGAATAGAAAGATTTACATAGAGATTTATACAAATCAAAAAGAACTAAAGGGTTAAAGGCTTTAGTTCTTTTTACAAGTTTTTTTAGTAGTATAAATCTAAAAAGATTTATAATTAGATATATAACAGATTTATATTAGTAAAAACTTATATAGCTATCTAAATAAGCGTATAAATTAAGAATTACATATAAATCTTTTTATATAACTTAGTGTAAATTTCTAAATTACACGAGCTAAACACCCCTTAAAGTAATTTATCGAAAACGATAGTATAATAAACTTAATTAGTCTAGATATTTAAAACAATTTAGTACTTAGAATTAACTTACGCTAATAGTTAAAAAATAAATCTCTACTACTTTTATCCTAACTTAACTAAAATCTATTCTATTATATTAGTTATTTCGAATAATCAAAGTAATTTATCGAAAACAATAGTATAATTAACTTAATTAGTCTAGATATTTAAAACATTTAGTACTTAGAATTAACTTACGCTAATAGTTAAAAGATAAATCTCTGCTACTTTTCTTGTCTACTAGGAGGCAGCGATCAAGGGTCTGAAAGACGATACTAAACAAGATGTTCTAAGTTAGAAAAAGTTCTAAGTAGAGGATTTGTACTGGAGACCTAGGTTGAACTTATGTGCCCTTATTATTCCAGACGTCCTCCCTGGTCCTCTTACCCTCTAGGAAATTGAGGCTAGATATATACGGAAATATCTAATACCTGTCGCGGGCTGTCCCGGGGTATAAAACTATCTCTAGCACGTATATTTTCGTATACTAATAGTAGGCGTAAAACCTTAAATATTATACTAAAGACGTAGTTTTAATAGAGATATATACTTACGAATATTATAATCTAAAATCTACTTAATTCTCCTACTAATCCCTTATAGTATATATAACTATCTAGCTATATAATAAGTAAGGTCTAAATAGCTTATCCTACCTCACTCTAACCTAATTATATAAATGATAAAAGACGTCTTCTAAGATATCCCTCTAAATAAAGAAATCCTACTATACTCTAATCTTCTTAATACTAAGAAGTCTTTTTAATAACCTTTATAAGTACCCTCCGAAGTTCCTCCCTTGTTTATATTTACTATAAAGAATTCTTATTTAATAATAAACTCCTTCTACTTTTATATATAATATAAAGTATATATATTTATTTATTTATTTATTACTATTTAACGTCAGGCGGAATCTAACTCGCGTGGGCTAGGTCCTAAAAGTCCCATTGTTGGGCAAATGACGCTAGGGGGGTGCCCTAGGCTACAGGGGGTGTAAATGAAAGTGCGCTAATTTACAAGAGATAGTTTAAAGAGAAGCCCCACTTCCGGAACAGCTCTCATTCTGAGTTAGTTTAAGAGCCAGAGTAAAAATAAGTTAACAGTGTACAAGATAGTGAGTAGAGAACAAGAGAAGAACTATATAAGACAGAGACCAAAGAACAGTAGAAAGAGGAGATATAGTGTAAGGAAGAAGAGGACTATCTAGGAGGACAGATCCTAGAGTAGAACTTTGTCTTATAGTAGATCTTGTGAAACAGTTCCTCGCATTGTGGTCCGAAGAGGAGTTGAGGGTTCCTCTGAGCCTTTGCAAATAGCTCAGGGGCTACTCTATTTGCTAGCCGGCAAAATAGTAGGTGAAATTGAGTCTTTTCTCTTCCACACTTACACTCCCCTGAAGTAAGTAGCGTGTCGAGGTGAAAGAAGCGAAGGTGATAAAGAGTAAAGTCACCGTGGCCAGAGCGAGCTGCAATTAAGCGAGCAAGAACCTCCCTTGGTAAGCGAAGTGATTGAGGCTTCGAAGACCAGTTGTTAAGCCCTAGGTCCTTGTATAAGCTTGGAAGCGTGGTTTTCCAGAGTTTCTTTGCAAGCTGAACCCCTGTCTCTTTAACTTCTCTTCTAAGTGTAGCAGTGCAGAGTATAGAAGGTGGGTCAGGAGGAGGTAGCCGAGCGCCTCTTCCCGCAGCTCTGTCCGCAATCTCATTCCCTTGAATTCCAATGTGACTAGGGCACCACCTGGTTTGAACTTTCCCAGGGTATAAAAGAGCTAACTCGTTAACCCTATTAAAGGTCCCTTGCGAAGATTCGCTTATTATTAAAAATAACTTAATCCTTTTATTAGGAAACCTAGATTTTAAGTAAAAGAAGCTATACTTATAAGTTAAGTAGATATTAATACTATAAATATCTTTTAAAGAAGTTAAAATATTTATATTATCTACTTTAGAGTTTTTATTACTAATTATATTTATAAAATTATTTATAATATTAGCTCTTAGTTATTTATAATAAAACCTTATATTAATTTTATATATTAAGAAACAGGTTAGTAATACTATATCTTACTAGATACTATAAGACTATACCTATTTTATCAAATTAGCTATTATATATAAATTAAAGATCTATATTAGATTTAACTAATAAGCGATATCTATTCTATGAAATTAGCTATTATATATAAATTAAGGATAAATACTAATTCTAACTTACAATTTAATATATTTAACTCGTAGGATAAAAGTACTCTATTATCTTTTTAATATCTATTATACTATAATATAAAAAGCTTAAGTATAAATAACTTGGTATAGATATTAGTATTAAAGACTCCTCTCTATTAAGACCTGTTATAAAAACTTTTAAGAATCTATAAGCTATTATATTCTCTATTAATATATCTTGTTTAAACTTACGATTTTATTAGGCTAGTAATAGAGTATTTAAATAATTTCTCTCTAATAATATATTATTAAAAAGACTATACTCTTAAAACTTAGAATATTCTACTATAATTACTACTAATATAATCTACTCTAAATATAATCTTTTATAATAAGCTATATAACTAGTAGCCTCCTTATACTAGATACTCCTTATTAGTAATATCTAGATTATAAATAATTATAACCTCTTAAGTCTTAAAACCTACCACTAACTCCTTAGCTAAAGTATCTAGGAAATCTAAAACCTTAATCTAGTATAATATAATATATCTACTCTAACTAGTAACCTTATTAACTTCCTTCTTCTTATTCGGGTCCTTGTCACGAATCACGTGTTCATGTGATGTCTGTTCCTAATAAGGTTCAACCCCAGAGCAGACTCGTCCAGGAAGTTATAGTAAAACAAGATCGTTTAGGCTAGCTAAGCGATCCAGGGATTTCTTTGTATCTAAGTTGTCACGTGATCAAAATAGCTACGGATAGCCAGCTATTTTGTGATAGCATAGAATAGCCAGCTATTTGTGGGAACATAGAATAGCCAGCTATCTACAGCTATTCTATGAGGACGAAGGTTCTATATAAGACTGGCACGTCTGCCATTAGATAGGAGCTTCGTGCTCAACTTAGTTATCAATCTTATCATATTAGTTTGACATCTTTGATACAAGTAACGAGTTCACTTCCAAGTGAACAACCCGATAGTCTTCTTCTTATCATAGCATACCAACCAGCGAACACCCAGCCAAGTTTAGTTAGCCAGTTTGAGTATTCGTTACACTTTGAGCACCTGCTTTAAGTCGAAACTATCACCATGGCTCCCACCACCCCGCCAGCAGCAGGACCGGCCAGCCCTTCGGCTAGCCGAGTCAACCTCCCAGGGACCTCAGGAGGAACTGCTACGACAAACCTCAACACATCCCAGGCAGCCAACAAGCCTGACGACGACAATGTCAGTATGCCGGATGCACCAGAACCTTATAAGGTCGAAGCACTCGAGACTATTCGGGTCAAGATGCCCGACACTTATCACGGAAAACGACAAGGACTTGACTCGTTCCTACTCCAGATGGACATCTATTTCAACTTCAACTCGGACAAGTTTGAAGGGAATTACAACTCCCAATCTATCTTTGCTGTCTCCTATCTTAGGGGACCAGCACTCGAATGGGCCCAGCCCTACCTCGAAGACTTCTTCAACAACGAAGACGAGGACGGATCAATGGAGATGACCAAGAAGATGTTCAAGTCCTGGAAAGGATTCAAACAGGCTATTCGCCGAGTCTTTGGAGACTTCGATGCTGTCCGTACTGCGGTACGCAACCTCTTGGGTTTGCGACAAACCGGATCAGCTATCGACTACGCCAACGAGTTCCAGCGTTATGGGAACAAATCAGGG